ATAAGTCGAACGTTAAAGTTTTTAGTTTTATACATGTTAGATGAAAAATTGAATTAGAATTTGAACAGATTGCCGATTTACACTTAATGTTTACAGTATGGTATGATATTGAAACTTGAGAGTAATAGATACCTACCTATAATTATTAATTAAGACAAATACGATAAACCTCACACCCAATGTATTAAGATGTAAATACATCAAATGTCTAAGTTTTTATTATTATTTATATAAGTATTTACAGCTTATTTATATTTTATAGCATAAACCTTTATTCACACCGTTCTACGATAAGTATCAGTATTAAATCAAAAGTTAATAACAATAATCAATAATACATTACATACATATATTGTATTATATTATGTACTATGAAAATAATCATATATTAACAAATAGTATAATAAAATAAATGTAAAATTTTGTTAAGCTCTTAAAATTCAAATTTGTCAAAATAACATAAATTATTTTTTAAATAATTCATAAACATTTTTAATTATTATATAATTACAAACTAAATTCGAAACTTTTATACAAGTGTTTCGGCTGGAAATCGATGTTAAAAAACCGATTATTAAAAAGTATATTATATAGTTTGTATTTATGATAAATTGGTTTATTGTAATATAATAAATAATATTAAACTAATATTGCTGGTTAATTAATTTGTCGTATTATTTGTATTGTATAAAAAAAATGTCGTCCCCTCAAATAATGTAAAATATTTTGTTTAAAACAATTAACTTCCCGCGGAGGTCATGATGCCAAGGGTTATTTTTTTTCTCTCGAATTAAAAAAAAATTAATTTAAAAAGTAAAGCATTGCTTTCTACTAAATATAGTAGACTACTTAATATTAATATGTACTAGGTATACTATAAGTAATGCGCAACTGAGGCGTTTGGTTAATATTAGGTATATATGAACACTGTAGATAATAAAATTGAAAGCGCGTGCTTTTTTTTACCCGACCCTGACCTGCAGTTACGCGAGATTATCAATAATATATTCCTATAGAAAATAACTTTGAACATTGTACATCAATGTTCCATAATATATAATATAAGTTTCGTTTACAACAAAGGAAAGGATTTAAAAAAAAAGTTGAGCGTAATCTATTATAATAATATTATTATGAAACAGGAAAGTAGGTATAGGTACCTACACCGTCGCTCATTTCGAAATTGTATTATATGCAAAACAAAACAAAAACGAAGATAGTTCATTTCAACATTTATGGACCTATTGTTTCTTGCATAATTTATTAATAATTTACCAATTTTATGTTTTTTAAAAAATAATTAATAATGAAGTGTTTTTCATTTTTTTTATATATAATTTGTAGAGTAAATTGAATATGTTTTGGTGCGATTGTTGCTACTTTATGGAGGGTCGGTGGGGCGAAGCCCCCACAGTAATCTAACGGTCCATTTTGTGTGAAAAGCTATTTCATTCAACATTCGCTGAGTCCCCCTTTTAATTTTTTTCCAAATCAAGTACCTACTGAAGTTTCATAATATAAGTGTCACTTGCAACTAAGAAAAGGATTTTAAAAAAAATTTGAGCGTAATTTATTTTAATAATATTATTATGAAGCAGGACAGTATAGGTAGGTACTTACCGTCTCTTACTATTACGTAGTCGTAAGTATTTTTCGATTTCTGAGTGCGTTTGAAAACGAAACGCTGTCGAATTCAACGAGATGATCTCGACCTACGAGTAGTGTATTCTTTAATCCAAATATGACGACTGGGTGTCTTATCGCAATACATTTCAGATGTAGGTAGGTACTAGGTGTCTTTTAACAATAAGCCGTTCGTTGTGTTAGTATCGATTAAAAAAAATGAATGTTATTATCAGAGCTTGAAATCGATTTCAAACTAGATTTTTAGTATCGATTTCAAACTTATTTTAGATTCTGAGAAGAACGATGAATGTATTAATTTTACAATGATGTATGTTTTTTTTTTTAATTTTTTAATTCTTTTTTTGTTTCTGTCATCACCTTTTAGGACAGTAAAAATGTTTAGATTTTCTTCAACACTATCTATTCTGATAGGAAAGTGAATCCTACTTTGGGGGTGTCAAAAGTAAAAATTTCCTAGTAGTTTTCAAAAGCGCAATGAAAAACAAAAGAAAAATTAAGGAAAAATAGGAATTTTTACGCAAAATCTGGTTTTTGGTGCAACTCTTAAACAAATGACCATGAAATTTTGACTGAATGTTTATATTAGCATTTTCTATAAACGCCGGTGTGGTGACATTTTTCTGCCCCAAAATATGACAACAAACAAAAAAGGGAATTAAAAAACACGTACACATCATTTTGAAACCAATACATTCGTCGTTCGGTTCAGAATCTAAAATAATACCTAATAATTATAACATTTATAACCATTGTTCTATGAACTCCGCATTGTGTTTACGCAAAAGTAAGTAGGTACTGCTCCTACCCCCTCATCGATCTACAAGAGTCTGACTGTCGAATCCGCACATGCGGTGTCATTTGTGTATTTGTGTATTTGTGTCGATGATGACGATAATCAGTGGCTGCTCCAGGGGGGGCCTGAGCAACCTCTTGGCCCCCTTGGCCACCTCATTAGTCATTACAAAAGAAAACATAAATACATTTTCTTTAAAAGAATAGATTATAAAATTGAAAGAGGTAGTGTAAATTATATACCTACCCATATAATATGATATTTATTATCAATTAAAACGAAAACCAATTATTATGTGTTATTATGCAGAAACTTAATATATGCAACACAATATTTACAAAAGGTAATGTATTAGCCCCCTGGTCCCACCTTTATTGCGCCTATATGAGTGGGGAAAAGACCACGGTTTGAAGTTTACCTTGGCCCTACCAAATGTTCAAAGGCCCCCTCAAATGGCCAATGCCCTCCTTTTCCCTTTTCCTGGCGCCGCTACTGACGATAATACTTGTTGTGTACCTACACAATAATATATTAAAATGGGGAACGGAGTGACCGAGAGGACTAAGGCGTCGTGATTCGAATCTTGGTCACGGGAGACACTTCTCTCCGAGCAGACGTCTGTCTAGAAAGAGAGGCCGCCATCCCACGACCGGGCATGGTAGAAACCTACGACGGGTGCCCAATTAAAATTCTGGTAATATATATATCATAATTGGTCACTTGGGTATCTAATATATAAAATAGGTACATCAAATTATTACTCATTAGGTATTATTATTTAGGTAACCAGTACCTATAGGTTACCTACCTAAAAAGTAAATACCTAATGTGATATTGTTGGTAGTAATTTAATTAATAAATAATAATATAGGTGTTTAATAACTATAATCTATATAGGTAGGTGTTTGAGTATTTCGTTACGTTGAACGAATAAATACATTAATATATAATCATATAGATACCTCCATGTCCTCATACCTGCAGAGATATACCTACTGGCTACCTATTTCATTATTCACTTTAATATAATACCTATAGTCACACACACTTATAATATTATGGGTAGGTATCCGGTATGAGTACTAGTGTACTACAATACGTCCCTACTACAGCCCACGTAGTACCTACTCGTCATTGAGTCAAAATGTATTTATAAATTAAATAATTTGGTTCGTGACCCACAAAAACGTCAATAAGTAAATTACATTCTGTTTATTAGTTAGATAACGAATTTCATTTAACTATTGTAATTTTCCTACAGTCAATCGCCAACGACCATACCACGTTGAATACACCAGTTCTCGTCCGATCACTGAAGTTAAGCAACGTCGGGCGTAGTTAGTACTTGGATGGGTGACCGCTTGGGAACACTACGTGCCGTTGGCAATTTTTTGCTTTTTTTTACATTATAGCAGTGACAACTCTGGTTTTTGATATATTTATAATAGCCTGTAAGTTGAATTAATATTATAAATTACTAAAATCGTTATTTTTATAATGGTGATAAACAAGAAATTATCTATTTTATTATTATTAGAAATTATAATCCCATTTTTAGCGGTTTTTCGTAATTTGTCAATGGTTATTCCCTTGGCATTAAATAACTATTGAGAAAGTCGAAAAATAAAGTACCATCTTGATCCAGTTTACCCCAAGTTAAAATACTATATAATGTTGAAAAAAAAAAAAAAACCATTGTAAAACCACTAAAATATGGCTCGATCGTTCCCTTGTATATATATTATGGACAATCCGAATATTTTTTCATAATGAAAATTGTGATCATTTCCAGCACGAATCGTTGGAATTAGAAACAGAAGTTTTTGACAAAAAAAAAGGCTCCTTTCAAAGTAAATTGTATGATATTGTTATTCAAGTAATTTATTTTACTTATAAACTAAATATTATTATTTTACTGAATATAATAGATACAAATACACATTTGGTGAAAATGTCAAGGACCTATTTAAGGTTGTTTATTTTTGAGTGACAACAGTAAAACTTAAATGTTGTTAAAAACTGGTTTGGCATTAAAATGCCCCTTTTTTTCTTTTTTTTTTCCTTTTCCCAACTCAAAACTCCTGATAATTAAAAAAAATAATACATAAAATCAATATACTTATTCATAGTTCAGCTCATAATGACTAAAATGACACAAAATTAGAAAATTAAAAAAAAATGTTGATGAAATCATAAACCGTACAATTTTAAGTACGTTTCACGCCTAGATAACAATTTTCCTTGATCAATATCGTTATTAAAATAATTTATTGTTACAGGAAGCAATTAATGGAATAACAATGTAAGAACTAAAGGACTAAAGAGTATGGATAAAAGCTACAGTAAAATAAATTTAAACATATAAATATATAATATACATTATTATTAACTAAAAATACACAGAATATGCACTTATTTATTTGTATTTACTCATACCACTCATACATTTGATAACAGAATAAATAAATAAAAAAACATATTATAATATCTATAGTATAAATTATTTGAAAAAAGTAATATTAACAAGAGTACCTACCTAATAAAATAACATTAATGCCAATTAATCAATTTTGGTCATGCGGCCTACAAATATAATAATATTACATCTAGTTAAAATAAAAAACATAAATGGATGATCAACAACAAAATCTGTAAAACTTCTTGCACAACCACAGCCATCACAACATTCAAAACCTAATTATATTTAAAATGTTTTTAATTGGCTTATTCATTTAATTATATTTACTCAAGGTAAATTGAATGTTTTTTTTTAAATATTATACATATAAATAAAGTATTACAGTTTTATTAATTATTACTTATTAATGATTAAATCGGTAAATAGGTATTTACATGATTACAGAAATAATACTAATAATTGAATATTATCCCCCCCCACCAAAAAAAATAAGTAAAATAAAACCATACCACTGCAGGCACGGACTGGCTGGGATAATGCCATTCTGGGACGCTACAGCATCCCTCGCACTAAAATATATTTATTATATATTTAAAGACTCTAGACACCTAATGAACAGCAGATTGTTACCAACTTACGATTATTAGTAGGTCATAGGCGCACATAGGGTGTTAATTTAGGGGGTGCTGGGATAATTTATGGTTCAAAGATCCGTGGGGGGCAAAGCCCCCCACACCCCCCTAATCCTAATATTTCTGCATTGCATTAGATTTAATTTGTACAGTGTATACAATAATTTCTAAAGTGCAATGTATCAAATAGTCTGTATGATTGTAAAGAAGACGCTAGGTACACCCACATGTGTTGTCTTCGTATTACAGACGTATAGGTACAACATAGGCAAAACTGTTTTGCACAGGTATAAAAAACATTCAGGCTCTACTCTAAGCTAAAAAACTAAATGTTCACACTAGAAAAATGAGAAAATTTACTCTGTAACTTTGTTTTTATATTTCCGATATCAAAACCAAAATAAAAGTTATTTAAGTTTGATAAAACAAAAAACGGTGCTCTGCTGTACAGTAGGGTACAAGTGGGTCACTGTATAATCGATGGTATTAAATTTGAATTCAATGATATACTAACATCATTGTATAAGAAAAACGATTCTGAGCGAAGACGGTTAGTCAGCCTATGATATTTGATGATACTAAGGTGAATAAAGCAATTTATATATAACCTATTTACGTAGAATCTTGTTTTAAATTTTCAATCATTAGCTATAAAAGTTGAACATTTTATAAATTTTTAACTATAAAATTATTATTAAATTTTAAATGTGATACATTTTGTCAAAATTTGAATTTTAAATAATTATAAAAAAAAATTGTGCCTATGTATTTTTAATATTTTTCAAGTGTTAATGTAACAATAACAATAACAATGTTAATGTAACAATATATCAGGAGCTTTGCATTCAATTTTCAAGCTTTTTTACCATACAAATAAAATTTTATTGATATGAATAGAAAAAAAAATTAAAAAAATTGAAAACTGAAAATGTCCGTAAATAGCTCAAAAAGAATCAAAATATTTTCAAAACTATATGGTGTATAGGAAATGCTAATATAAAAATTTAGTAAAATTTTCAAGTATCTACAGTCATTCGTTTTTTAATTACAACAAAATTAGAAAATCGTTACATGAGAAATCGAGTGAATATCAAATGTTGTAAAAATATGAATTTCAAACGTTGATAAAAATTTAATTTGAGATTCTTGTAGGCATTTTTTTTTTGATAAAAGTAGACAAACTTATGAGGAATCTTGCGTTACATTTTCATATCTTAGATTTAAAAAGAAAAATTTTTATGAATTTCTAACTCGAAATAATTTGCAAATTTTGGTCATTTTGTAGTATTTTGTTAATATTTGGAATTTAAATGCTTATAACAAAAAACTGTGAGTAAGGATTTTTAATATTTTTCATCTGTCTTTGAAACAATATATTAGGAGCCTTCTATTAAATGTTTAAGCTTTTATACCCAACAAATAAAATTTTATTGATACTTATAGAAAAAAAAACTAAAAATGTCCGTAAAAAGCACAAAATAACTCAAAATATTTAGAAAATTTTATCATGTATAGAAAATGGAAGTATAAATATCCAGTGAAAATTTCATATATCTACGGTCATTTGTTTTAAAGTTACACCAAAAACCAAAATCAATTTTCTCGAAAACAGATTTTGCGTAAAAATTCCCGGTTTTCCTTAATTTTTCTTTTATTTTTCACGGCGCTTTTGAAAACTACTGTGAAATTTTTGCTTTTGACCCCCCCAAAGTACCAACTAGATTCACTATCCTATCAGAAAAGATATTGTGATGATCATCTAAAAGATGATGACAGACAAAAAAAAAAAAAAATGAATTCTTGAATTCATAAACAGTTGTCAATATTTGTAATGAAAAGAAAAATTCCGAACCAATAAACCACGATAGTTTATAAATGATTGGTGAAATACTGAAATAAACTGAGGGTGCTAGTTTGAAGCTTGGGGGTGCTAAGCACCCCCAAGCACCCCCCTATGTGCGCCTACGAGTAGGTAATCCATAATATTGTAAAATTTTGATTGAAAGTTTGTTGTAACTTGGTACTTATTTATGTTTTTAATGTATATTCTATATTTTTTTAAAACATAAAATATACCTATTAATATTTTATAAATAATCTACATATTTTAAATTTTCCCCAACAATTTTTGTTATTTGACCCTTGAATTGTGTAGCATCCCATGCCCTATTTTACCAGTCTGTGCCTGTACCACAGTAAGAAAATAAACTATATTACCAGTGACTGCTGCCGCTTCAGTTCCGTTTTCATCTACATCAATATATGCCTTATGCGAGACTTTACTCACATACAGTTCACCATCTTCAACAATGTTAGAAAAGTTTGCTTCTGATGTAAACATTGTTGGACATCCCAGCTAAAATATAATATAAATAAATAAATATAGATAATTTTTTTTTTTTTTATTAATATTCTTACATTGGATAATGTTTTTTCTAATTGCACAGACTGTTCTAATTTGAAACGAGGTAGTTTGACATAAACGTATGTCTGGGTCATATTATTAGAAATTGCATGCAAATTAATTATTGATAAGTTATTTTCCAGAATTTCCAAGCCATCTTTAGCTTCAGGCAATAAAATTATCATTTTAAAATCATTATTCTAAACAGAAAAATACAAAATAATACATTTTTCAAAAATTAAAATTTACATTAATTATAAAGCAATATTTACTTTATAGGGTAATTCAAGTGCAGTAAATTTTAGGATACTATCATGATAATATTGCAAATCTTCTTTTAGGTACATCATTTTCACTGTTATCATGTTACTTGGAGTAGCATAAAAAGATCCATCTTTGACATAATCAAATTTATGGGCCCAATCACTTTTAAAATGCAAAGCATTCACCAATACTAAGGCAGTATCTTCATTAATGGAGCCTGTAAAAAAAAATTGGAACTTACATTATTTATATTCATTTATAAACATATTATATAAAAACCTTTGGGAAATAAATCTTTAATTTTGTTATTGGTTTTGTTTAAAACCCAATTATTTAAATATTGGAGTTGTTGTTCTGGGTTTTTTTTTAAACTCAATTTTTCCATGGAAGATTTTAGGTAATTCATAGAGTTTTCAACAAAACTATCTTTAACATTGAAAGCTATATCGACAAACATTCCGGTTGCTAGTTTCAGATTATCATCTTTACTCTAAAATAGTAGGTATTAAAGTACAACACATATACCTTATGATATCAAGTCTACATTTTAAACTATTTTCATAAATATACTTAATTTAACAACATAATGAGACTGAATTTTAACAATAAATCACCGATGAAATTTGGGAAGAAATTTATATTCAATTGCCATCAAATTCATAATTTATTGTGAAATAAGTAAACATTATAACAATTTTACCTATTCGAACATCAAAAACGTCAAAAACCATAAAAAAATAAAAGTTATTATACATTTGTAAATGTGAGACGTGCCATAATAAACTCACGGTTAAGTCTTCCAATAATTTTCTATATGCTTCCATCGAATGAGTAGTTTTGTTTAGATGCATAGTGGCTACTATTTCATCAAATGTTTTCAAATCTGCTCCAGTGCTAGCCACGAACATAATCACGTGGATACTGAATGGTGAATAGATAATATTTCCTGTTTCAGTTTTGGCTATTTCCTATAGTAGAATTATTAGCTATTAGATAAACAAATGATATTTACAATAAAAAAATTAGTTCTTTACCTTATACAAAGAAAACGAAAACTCATGATTTGCCGAGCTTAATGCTTCTAAATTTGTAGTTGGTTCCATATTGTTTTGATCTGAAAAAAAGGAAAATAAAATCTTTTATTCTATTTATCTCCGGTTAGTAGTACACAAAAATTAACAGTAAAACACATTTTTTTAAAAACAATAAACCCTTGATGGCTATGATGCCAAGGGTTATTTTTTCTCTTGAATAAAAAAAAAAAAACAAAATATTGAATGTATTGTGCTATGTAGGTAATGCAAATTTTCAAGTCTGGGCATTAACGAATTTAAAAGTTAGGTACCTCCTAACCGTTAAGTTAAAAAATTACAATCTAGGTATATAGTTACTTTTGGGTGTCCGTTAATTTACTTTGTTTTCAATTTATTGTTTTTCAACAATTCATTACATTCCAATCGATATCGATTTCTTGTATAATAATATTTCTGGTTTGGCTAGGGGCTAGGGCACTATAGATACAGGTATGCTACGCCGCCATTTTGCGACTAATAATCTTATGTGAATATGAATTTCTCCCCCTTAATTTTATCATTTTATCATTGATAAAAGAGTCGTAAAATGGTGGCATAGCATACCCATGGTATGTAGAGCCTTAGTTTGGCCCACGATTAAAGATATACAGGTTGCACATCGCCCTATAGTAAACCGCTTCCAGACTGATTTACAAAGTGACTATAAAAATCAGCTGTTAATAATTAACTAGTGGCGCTTAATGTCAACACTCAACCATATGTGTCGACATTTAGAACTAATTTTACACCTATATATCTATAATCGGTTAATTGTAATACTGCCGCTTGGAGCGCCACTTGTTAATTATTGGTAGTCATTTCGTATTTCACCTTATCAGTAGTCGATGTGCAACCTGTATATCTTTAATCGTGGTTTGGCCTTAGTTGTCCAGTTAAAATGTTAAATGACAATTAAAGATAATGTAATGATGATTAATGGACATTCCGACATTGGACATTATAATATAATTTGGACTTGAATAATGGTTGCCCGACGGGCTATTGTCATACCACAAGTGATACCACATAGCATTATAGCAATTGAAATGAAATTACTCGCAGGAACAGCTGACTGAGTGCGCTCTAATATTTTGTCAATTACGATATTGTATAGTACATAAACATTCCACTGGGAATTCGTAAGCGCTGCAGAATTGTTTTGTCATGAGCGCTGACTAATTTTATCTTATCCCGTGACATGCATAGACCTGAAGAAAGTCTCTTTAAGTCTATGGTGACAAGGTGTATTGGTACACCTTGGCGCCATAGGCGTGTTCAGACTTTGGTGGCCGAGGGGGCACAACAAATTTTTTAAATGTGAGACATATTTCTTATTTTAAACATGAAGAAACATTAATTTTTTATGTTACAAAATTCACAATGGTAGGAATATTTTATAATTATGTTCAAAAAGTATAACCTTTGTCAAAACAATAAAAATACATTTAAAACTAAATTAAAAACAGATACATAATGAAGTAAATTGTTCATAAAAATAAAGTGCTTATACTATATGATTATTAGGTATAATATTATAGGGCTTACCACTGGGTATCCTCCCTGAACACACTATTCATGTTAATCTTTTATTATTCACTTATCAAACCTACATATTGTACAAAAATTAATGTATAGATCGTAGATTAATTTCAATAAAAATAAAAAAAAAATAAAATATATTACATGATAATAATATAATCACTAATTAATAAATGCGTACTAAAAAAATTACAATTAATCAAAATCTATAGGTACCTACTGCACACCGTACGACTTTTTTTATCCTAGCTATTTTGTTGGAGGCACAGTCTGTCGGGGGGGGGGGGGGGGGGGCAGTGCCCACCCGGCCCCTCTCGTAAACAAGCCTACGCACCTTGGTCCGTGATCATGAGTAATCATGGAGACAACTACCAGACAACAATTCTATGGCTCGTCGGCCACATAATATTATAATATAGCGGTTGAGTCTCATCGGTACATCCGCTCGCAAGCACAATAAAATTCATATTAAAAAAGGTGGGTAAGTGGATGTCGCTCTGCTGTACTGTAGGTTACAAGTGGGTCACTGTATAATGGATGGTATTAAATTTGAATTCAATGATATAATATCACTCTATAAGAAAAAACGATTCTGAGCGGAGACGGTATCGGTATGTCAGTTTAGGTATAAGACATATTATATGGTACTTATCTGTGGTATTAAATTGTAAGGAATTTATGAATAAATTATTCATTGTCCCTTAACTCTTTGAGGGGCCGTGGTTAGTATGCTAACCACTTTTTTTTTTACCGTTCAGGTGCGGTGGTTACTATTTTAACCACTTTTAAAATTATTTTTAATATTTTTTTGATGATGGTCAGCATACCAATCACCTTATTATCATCTTATACATGCATCAAACAATATCACTGCCGCTGGTCTGATATCATTTCTCGCGTTTTTCATCATTTATTATCATTATCGATATTTTGATATACGTACTAAATGTTATGGTAAAGAGACATATTGCCCACATGGGTCTTTTTTCTAAAGGAAATTTTCGCCCCTCAAAGAGTTAAAATATGCCCAGTCTTATCATTAAGCATACTTCTTATTCCTTATACTATGGTAGATAGTATGGATAGACCATAATATTTTGATTTTTCAGTTTCATATATTCCCGAATAATATTTTTAAATTACAACAAAAAACCAAGATCGTTAATATTGATTTTAATATGTAATTTCGTCCAAATTTGAATTTAAAATGTCTGTAAAAAATAACTGTGTTCATATATTTTTTAGATTTTTTGTGTACAGTATGAAATATTTATGAGAACCTTTGTTTTAAATTTGCAATCCTTAGTTATAAAAACTGAACATTTTATAATTTATTAATTATACAATGATTGATAATTTTCGAGAAATTTTGTCAAAATTCGATCTTTAAATGCTTATAAAAAAAAACTGTGCCTATGTATTTTTAATATTTTTCAACTGCTATTGTAACAATATATCAGGAGCCTTGTATTAAATTGTTACACTTTATGGCCCAACAGATAAAACTTTATTGAATTTATAGAAAAAATAAACCAAAAAAATTGAAAACTGAAAATGTCCGTAAACAGCTCAAAAAAAGTCAAAATATTTTCAAAATTGTACAGTGTACAGGAAATGCTAATATGAACATTAAGTGAAATTTTCATGTTCCTTTTTTTTTTTTTTTCCCCGGTTGAATCGAGGACCGGAGGCGGAACCGCGTTAGCATTACTTCACCTCCGGCCACCATCGTTTATTGACACAAAACAACTAATTATTTTACATCAATAACAACATAATTTGTCCCCTCGAACTAGCAGACTTTCCACAGCGATCGCTGGTAAAGTATGTGTCTGCCAGCGGGCTTTGCCCGGGGGACGTACCGTGTATGCATGGGAATACAATAGAAAAATAGACGGTAAACCGTCGACTTGCGGTTTTAGGTTGCCTCTTGCGACGTTCGCCTCTGCTTGGCTCCGTGTCAGTTTTCCAGGCTCTGCTTGGCTGGAACCCGATGCTGCTGTGGTCTGCTTCCATCGGTAATGACTAGCTGCCAGATTGGGAGCGCGTGCAATTCGTACATTCGATTGACACTTTGTTGAGACTGCGTTTTTTTACCGGTTTTTCGGTTCTAGCTCGGCCGGTTTTCATCTGACGGCTTCGGGAGCGAAAATGTTGCCCCCTATGAACCCTCCTGTCCGGCTTTTGGGGCCCCGGACGTGGACCCGCAAACCCGAACATCCTAGCCCAAAAGGGGGCGGAGATATCGGGTGGGCGGCAACGGACTGCTCGGTGTTCTAGACGGCCTGGACAGGTTAGGTTGGGGTAGCTTGCCTTGCTCGTTCTTCCTCTTTTTTCAGTGACAGGATGCCCTCGGTCATCTTGTAGAACAGCCTGAATCCTTCGGCGGCGTTGTGGAGTAGGCTGGACTTCTCCTCTGCGCGCTCGGGCAGGAGATGGAAGTCAGGCCCGCACAGGAGGTCCGGGAGGTCATCGGTACCCGGCGGGTGAAATTTTCATGTACCTACAGTTATTCGGTTTTGAATTACAATAAAATAAGGAAATCGCTACATGAGAAACCGAGTGAATATCCAATGTTGTAAAAATTTGAATTTCAAACGCTCATAAAAATTTAATTTGACTTTCCGGTAGAGATTTTTTTATTGATAAAGGTAGACAAACTTATGAGTAATCTTGTATTACATTTCAAATCTTAGATTTAAAAAGAAAAAGTTTTACGAATTCTTAACTCAAAATAATTTGCTAATTTTCGTGATTTTTCCATATTTTGTCAATTTTTGAACTTTAAATGCTTATAAAAAAAAATTGTGACTAAGGATTTTTAATATTTTTCATCTGCCTTTGAAAAAGTATACTAGGAGCCTTCTATTAAATTTTCAAGCTTTTTTGACCAACAAATAACATTTTATTGATATTTATAGAATAAAAAAACTTAAAACATTGGAAACTGAAAATGTCCGTAAACAGCTCAAAATATATAAAAGAATTATAAGAATAAAAACACTTATTATCAATATATTGTAGAAGAGAAAAGGGGGTTCTGAATTATTATAGATGGGCCTATGCACGGCGTTGTTCGTCGGTAGTACAAAAGTGCCGAAAGTCTAGTTGGGTTTCGTTAGGTTTCGTTAGGTTTAGTGAGGTTTAGTGAGGTTTAATCTAACCTAACGCTGCTAAAGGCATTGTCTGGTATTATTATTTAGATTTAAATAATTTCGATAACGGCAGCGCCATCTAACGCCGCCGAATAAATTTTAACACTTGAAAAACTGGCCCTCGTAGCTGCTTAATTTCTTAGTTAGATAGCGTTGTCATATACGATTTACAACACTGACATCTCCAAGACACTGCATTACTGCAATTTTGGACGCTACCCATACATTTGCTATCTCCGTCTTACACACGCACGACATAGCAAGTCACTAGTTTCAATAGTGTACTGTTAGTTTTGATAGTTGATACTAGAGTTAATTGACCTATTATAAAACTTTTAGGTAAGAACATTATTTGTGCTAAAAGCGTTGCTGATTTTTCGAAATTTTCATTTTGAAGCAAGATATGGGTATGTGAAATATCAAAAAATTTAAAATGCTCATACATCGCTTGAAAATTAAAATATCGAATAAAAGCCAACGCTTAAGCACAGATAATGTTATTATATAAACAATTTATAATAGGTAAAATCACTCTAATATTAAAACTTACAGCACTCTATTGAAACTGGTGAACGAAAATTTGCTATGTCGTACGTGTGCAAGACAGAGACAACAAATGCATGGGTAGCATCCTCTTAAGTTCATATTTTTACAATATATATATGTTTTCTCGAAAACAGATTTTGAGTAAAAATTCCCGTTTTTCCTTAATTTTTCTTTTGTTTTTCACGGCGCTTTTGAAAACTACTGGGAAATGTTCACTTTTGATCCCCCAAAGTACTAACTAGATTCACTTTCCTATCAGAAAAGATACTGTTGAAGAAAATCCAAGCACTTTTACTGTCCTAAAATGTGATGACAGACACAAAAAAAAATTTTAAAAATAGCACACATCATTGTAAAATCAATACATTCATCGTTCCACTCAGAATCTAATATAATATTAGGTATTATGTTTTTGTTCCTTTTCCTTCATAGAACAACAAACACCAACCTTACATACCATGCATACATAGTACATACCGACTTTCATGAACGTCCCTGCATGCGTCTAAATATAATTATTATTCCAACTGTTAGTTAGTAATTAACAATTTATCATTGAGTCAATAATTTCTTAATAGTTAAAATAGTGTAACTATTTTTTTTTTTTATAGTTAATTACTACCACGGACTACTTCTGTAGTAGTCCGTGATTACTGATTACTACTTAAGAGGACGTGATCCCCGCTATGTTATCTCCGTCTTACAACGTGTATCATTGATAATCGTATGTCAATAAAATATTTTGAGAAGTTACCTTAAAATTACTAGGTACCGCATATTTCAAAAATAAAGAATAAAGATTAACCATCAACACTCAGGTCGTCAGGTAAAATTATATAAATTTGAAATAGGAACATCATAATATAGACATACTTAATTGTGAATCTAAATGGAACTTTGAGGGTAAACATTTCAGAAGTTTTGAAAAGCGTCAGGAAAAACTAAAATTTTTACACAAAACCTGCAGTTTTCAAAAATTAACGATTTTTTTTTTTTTATTTACTTCTAAAAGAAATAACTGCTGATAGATGGAATGTTCACGGAATGTTTATATCAACAATATTTCTATGCATCATACAATTTTAAAAATATTTTGACTCTTTTTGAGCTATTTATGGGCATAAGAAAATGTCTAGATTTATTAGTTTTTTTAAATTATTGTCGATAAAAAATGTTCACTCCGTCAACAAACTTGAAAATGTAATACAACGTTCTTCATAAAATGTTGTTGGTGGAAATTTAAAAATAAGTTAAGCGTAAATCCACAATACCTTTTTCATGAGCGTCTAAAGATAGAATTTTGACATAAAAATCACGAAAATGTGAGTTGTAAATTCATAAGAAACTATCTTTTTACATCTGAGATTTGAAAATGTAATACAAGATTCCTCATAAGTTCGTCAACCTTTAACAAAAAAAAAGTCTACCGGAAACCAAATTGTTACGAGCGTTTGAAGCTATACACATAAGATATTTACACATTAATTAACAAATACTCACTACTCAAACAATTAATTTATTAAGGTTAGGTTAGGTTATTAAAAATCTTATAATCGTTTCAAAATATTTCGATTTACTTTGAGTTATTTATGCACATTTTAAATTAATTATTTAGGTTTTACTTCTATGGCAATACAATTGTATTCGTTGTGTCAAAAATCTTGAACATTTAATACAATAGGTTCCTATCATAAAAAGTTTTAATAGCAGATGATAAATATTAATTATGATAATCTCGAAAATTTTCCAATTATTTTTTAGTTAATAATATGAGGCCAACAAAAAATGGACTCCTACCTACCACCTATATAAGACAAAATTCACATATTTTAAGGAGGCTTAGGGAGCCAAGCCCCCCTTTAAAGTAAATTTCCATTCACCAAAATATTTGTAATAATTAATAGGTGACATTGTGACAAGACTAAATCCTATACTAAAATTATTACTAAGATTTAGCCCCACTAAGTTTATTCTCTACATTTAAGTAAAGTTGGAATAATGATTACAGGGTATAAAATGTTATAAAAAAATTTAAAATAACAATACAATTATAATCTTCATAATGTTTAAACAATTTTAAGTTGAGATATAGCGTAACTTACTATAGTAAAGCATATTAATTTATCAAAAATTATTTGTATAATAAATTATAGACTATATGTGTGAACATAGAAGGTAGTTTTGTCTTTTATATAATATATAGATTATAGATTAATGCGTTTTTGAGTCCTTGAACTTATACTTATATTAGGTAAGTACATATCCTTATAATTTTGTCAATGTAAAATATCTCAATTTTCACATTATTTGACTTTGCCTTGGAAACGCCGGTTGGGGCAGCTAGTATTATATCAATAGGATATAATATTCTCTAATTATTATACAATATATCTTAATAAGGCAACAAGGACAAAAAATAATATAGAAAATACAATTTTTAATTTAATTATAATGTTTCTATATTACATGTTACTGCATTTATTCAGTTTTAGTAAATAATTTTACATTCAATGCGGTTATTTTTTTGCACTAATATTATATAGTATAGTAATACGCTATTTACAAATTACAAAATATAAAGTCCATGGTTTATCTAACACCTAAGTCCTAAGTAATGTATATTAACAGTAGTTGACTAATAATAAAATTATAAGCGGTAAAAAATTGCGATATTTTGATGAACTAAAGAACATTATCATGTATAAAGCACGAACAAGTATGAGGGTATGTGACATTTTAAAGGGAAGAAGTATAATTCATACAATATAATATATAATATTATAGAGATCCAACAGTGATCTTTAACAGTATAATTCTGTACATTTTATTGTTTTAACACGGAATGTATTTGTTTATTTGTATACAAAAAAAAAAGTACAGTATAGCAGAGTAATAAATCAATGTTATTAATCGGACAATTCTAATTTCTACCTAAATACTATTATATAATAATAAAAAAAAAAAATCAATTAACAAAGTAAAAATAGTTTACAACCTACAGACTAGAAACATAAAAGTAGCTTTTCCCTTTTTCGGTGTTAAAAATGTTTATATAATATTCAGTGTATAAACAGGATCTCTACCGGTAAGCAGACTTGTCAGAATAGGAGAAAACTATATATGTAGTGTATAAGATATCATGACAATATCGAAATTGTTTGCAATTTAAAAAACGTATTGAGCGACTTACTATAAAATAATAATTTAATGTATCATATTTCGTTGTGACCCCGGCATCGCAATAGGTATGTATATTATGTTCTTTAATATGAATGTATAAATATTATACAATCCGCGACCGTCGTAGCCTTTAAACCTTTAAGGTAATTTAAGGGAAATTAATGAAATTTAACTACGACATGGCCAAGATTCCACACAATTGGATAGCAAGGACATTGGATATTTTCTCAATGAAAACTCAATAAGCGCGTTCAACGAGATTTTCGAAACGATTGTGAACCGACAACTGTTGCTACGTTGTTGTTGGGTTGTATGTTTTTTATCACTTTCATGGGCTCGTAAAACTCATCGGTAGTGTATATCGGCGTAGAGTTTCTCATTGGCCCGTTGCAGTTGTTGATCTTTGGTTGCGATTTACGCCTTAAAAAAGGCGATGACTTTTTGCTGTTTATCTCTTCGATTTTTTGTATTATCTGTTGTACGCCCAAAACCGGGTCCGCCACAGTCACCTCGCATTCGTCGTCTGAAACCGAAGTTTAAGAACATTAGCATATACTTACATTTCACAAATTTACAAGTGTGTTTATATTACAACCGTATGACAATTTTAGTGGTTAACTGATTTCTGATTATTATCTTTTATTATTTTTTTTTAATTTAATAACCGCAATAGTGTAACGATAAGTAATTAAAATATAATTCAGTTTCAGTAGATATATTATTTAAACTTTGATTTTTAGTCACTTGACATTCACAGTAGTTTATACGAACTTTATTTGGCAAACTTATTTACATGTATAAATTTTCTATGCAATAGAATAATATGAAAATCCAGTTGACCACTCATTGTCAAGTATAGCCTCAAGAAGTCTTCCTTGATGGAAAATTTTTTTTTCTGTACCTACGATTGTAATATTTACTCAATGGATATTATATTAAGAACTATAATGGGAATTAATTGCTTTTGACGCCCCTACCCCAATGTACTAATTTGATTCACTTTCCTAGGACCTAGGTACTAGATAAGATGCTGAAGTAGAAAATCGAATCATTTGTACCACCCCCAATGGTGATGACTGATGACACACGGAAAAAAACCAACACAATGTAAAGTGTCTAAATAGTACGAACAGTTTTTGTAATTATCTTTTTAAGATTCAAAAACCTACTCAATAAAGCCCTTAAAACCCTTTCCTCGAAATTACTATAAGATCTTTATTTTTGTGCCGAAATTCCTGTCTACCACAGTGGCGCCTAACAAGGGGTTTGATAAAACATACTCGTTATTATGTCGTAGCTAGTTTCCTTTTCGGCGAAATAATCATCGTATTCGTTGTTATTTCGATCTTCCTTGATTGGCACTGGCACCGGTATGTTGTTTGGTATATTGTAATACGACGTGTCGCCGTCCCAGAACTGTTTATCGATCTAAAAAAATAAACATACATTTTTATCAGTACCGAGAAATCGATAACGATCGGTTAACAACGACAACGACAATACCAGTAGCCAGTAATAATAATAATAATAATAATAGAGGTAATATAAACCTTTGGCAACGTGTCCTTTTCTTGTTTGGACTCGTCGATAAAGTGGTATATCGACTCAATCATGTCCACGTCGTCCGTCCCGTTCTCGTAAAGATTGACCGGTCTTATGATAGGATTTGGTTTATCATAATAGTAATCCTGCGCGGTGGGGTCTTCGGTAGCAGCAGGGGGTACGGGCAATTCTCGGTTAGGCAACAGCTCCTGTTTGAAGCATATGGGAGACGACGGGAGCTGCTCCATTTCTGGTGTGGACGGCTTGCTGCACGAATTGTTGATGGCCTCGATCCAAGAGTGCAGGTCATTTTGGTTTTGAGCTATGAACTGGAAATCAAGAAAAACGATACGATTAGTACATAATAATATAATATGTGTTTTACACTGTTAAACACTGTGATAAGTACTATATATAGCACTATATACTATAATGGTTCAGTTTTCAAGATTTTAGGATGTTTATATTAAGTATGTACATTTGCGAACAAATCTAGTTTAGCTCCAATAAGGAAAAATCTGATTCGATAGGTATCTCACTTAATTTTATTTCCGTAGGATTTTAAATGTAAGAACTGTCTTTTTATATTTTATTGTATATAATATTATATGGCATATTGTATTCGTATGTAAAAATAAAATATTTATAAAAACCATTTAGGTACATTTTTGTAAGTTAACAATTAAACAATTTACTGTTTTCTCTACTTCTATCAACTAAACAAAAACCGACAAAAACATTTTTAAATCATTTGCTTTTTTCGAATTTTTGTATATTATTTCATTACATCTATATTATGTATATATTATCCGACGATCAATACAGTTTTTTTAAAGTTTTCGAATAAATGTATTGAAATAAAAATATTAGAATTCTATTATTTAAAATACTCTTTGAAAAATGTATAGGGGTAATTCTGTTTATTCAAATACAAAATAAAGGTTTCTATACAATAGACTATCGATAAAGACTATAACTTCTACGACCCATTCATTTCAACTTTTTTTTAGTTCAAATTTTTAATCACTATACTTACATAGGTATCATAATAATAATGCCATAATACAGGTTACAAAAATAGGCGTAATATACCTGGTAAGTCTTCTTGCCCGGGCACACGACTTCGAACACCCAGTCCTTGCTCCGGTTGCCGCCGCCCGCCGCGTCCCTGGCCGTGTATCCTTCGAGGTGGACGACCAAACAAGGTTTCAACTCCTTTTCGCCGTTGTACACGTACATGGTGGACGACAGCACCGCGGCCCAGTACTTCTTCGTGTGGTCGACGAACAGTATCTTCTCTCGTTTCGTCAGCGGCCCGTACTTGCTGGCCGAGTACTTAACCGCGTTCGCCGACACGTAGATCACCTCACTCTTCGAGCTCTCGGACGAGTCGCTGTTCGACCGGCTGCTGAGGCTGCTGCTGCCGTTCAGCGCCGACTTGCTCAGCGATCCCGTCGACAGGTGGCTGTTGTCGGCGATGCCGCCTCCGCCGCTGTTCGGCGCGCTGTGCCGCTTCGCGTTCAGGTGGTGTTTGGGCGGCGGACTGTACCCGTTGCAGCCGGTCACGAAAGTTTCGTAATTCAGTATGTCGTCTTCGTACGGCACGTTGTTGTAGATCGGCTGGTTCGAGCACAGTTCTTCGTACGCCGCTTGCTGGTGTAAGCACGCGAAGCTGTTCGACTTCATTATCAGACCTGTATATACATCGGAACCAATCAATGCACATATTAATACCTAATATTAATTACCTAATTGTATTAATTAAACTATATTATTATGATAAGGTGCAAACGTGTCATTTTTAAGGAGTTGTGCTTAGGCAATAATTCTTTCGTGCCTTGCGGCACTTCTTGTGTCTTTGTGTAATAAATTAACATTAGTGTGTGTATAATATAATATACTTTCCAACCATCACCCGCATCATACTCATACATACATTATGCACACGCATGCACACGCATGCACATGCGTCATTTAGTCATTTGATCAAAATCAATTTATGAACGTGAATAATAGCTACTCCTTACAAAAGTTTAAGTACTCTCAAAGATTAGAATTTAAAAATTGTAAAGATATTTGAATGCATATACAAAATATACTATATAATATGTATATTAGATGCATCAGTGGAACACTTTTTCAATTTCAGCAAATTATCGACAGAAATAAACATTTAAAATTTTTTACCTACATTTTTTTAATTTTTTGTACTAAGTATATAATAAAAACTATGAAAATATTAAATACATGTTCCGATCGATTCAAAATTAACCTCTTTACCGAATCAAAACATTTTAAATTTTTTAAATCGAACTACTAAAAGTACCTACCTACCATAACTTTTGTCAGTTACCTATTGCAGCTATTAGGTCGATTTGATGGAAAATGTAAAGGATTTGCAAGATTATTTTAAAGCAGATAAAATACTGTAACAGGAATATAGTAGTGACGCCATCTCTGTCTCGTACAATACAATTTTAGACAATTTCAAAAAAAATTTTACCGGGCTAGACAATTTCAAAAATAACTAATTTATCATGGTATCTACCATTTTAAAATAACAAAATGTAATCTTTCTTAGGTATGTAAAGCTAATTTCAATATAATAATAATTGTTGTACACTGTTTTCAAAATTATTTAATGTTGGAAATGAACAAAATAGGAGTAAATATACCCTCCAATACTGGGTGTATCCTCAACACTCGTAGGCACAATGGATGGAAACTTATGAATTAAGATCACCGCTTCCAATCCCGACATGATTTTAATTTTAAAAATATTCATTTACAATAAACATATTATATTACATATATATCTAATATTATATGTTTATATCTTTTGATATTTGGTACTAAATAATTTGAATTTTTTTTTTTACTATTTACCGTGTAACGTTTTTGATATGTAGGAAAACGTGTGCACAAAAGAAATTGCATAGAATTGTTAAAATTAAACTCAAAATAATTATATCAAATGTTGACACGGTACGCTGCACGTATTCTTATATTTTTATATTATTCTTGTAGTGGGTATTTTTGTAGGTATTTATCGGCCTACCATCACCTGTGGCGTCGTCGCGTCGGCATGGAAGCATTGTGCCGTGGGTTTTTGTCGTTTTTGATATCGTGTCAACATTTTACCTTGAAACCCATCGTGTCACGATTGAAATAGGCGACGAGACAACGCCACAATAATAAAAACTACCTCTTTATGTATTCATATCGTGTGCATATATATATATATATATATACAAAGTTATTTGATGGCAGTACCGCATCTTCTTTTGCAAACTGTCTATGAGTATATAATAATATTATGACCTACCGTTATTTGCCAACCCGGTGAAAGCTATTATGGTATACTGAACATATTTTTCCCCGTCATCTCTGATTTAAGAATATTACCAAAAATCGGAGATGTAAATTAAATATGACAAAAAATGTGCTAAAATAATCACCCTTTGAACGTCCGTTCATGTCCATGTACGGTGTCCTAGTCGGCGACATTTCTCTGTTGGTGAGTTTTTCCAAGAGCTGTTGGCGTTGTATTTCGGCTCGCTCTGAAAGGGATTCGGCGACCAACACTGTTTGCAAATATAGAGCCACATCTGTAACAGATAGAAATATATTTTATATTTATTAAATTTCATGACGCGTGTATGTGCACGTATAAATATTTATTTTTTTATTTTTTTTTTATCAGTCGATTTTACACTTATTTCTAACTTAAAAAAATTTGTATTTTTCAATAATTACAAACATAAAAACGTTTATATATTTTCACTTCCTAGTAAAAACACCACGTAGATATCAATAATTACAACACAGATTGTGTTTACCTTGTCAGCAATTGACTGTCTTAAATATTTAAAATTTATATTGAGGTACCTACAGAGGTAAAATATAATATTTTCTATAAAGTTGGAGTTCTATATTGTGGTGCATAATACTTGCGTCCACGATTATTATCTGTAGTAGGTGACTTGAGTCCCGAAAAAAATTGTTTAAAAACAACTTGTTCAACAATGTCTACAACTTGCGTCTAAAAAATTCATTTTGAACAGCATATAGTTACGTCCCAGTTTTTAATATTATAAATTATAGATTACAGACCATTATATTATATTACATCATCACACATTTAAATAAATACAAATTGCCAATGGACATTTCTTATATAATTAATGTTGATACTAATATTAATATGTATAATATTTTGTAATAATAACAAATTGCACATTATTATAATTAATTTATATAATAAAATAAAAATAATAAAAATTAAACTATTACAATATAGAAAGTATATTAAATTTAAGCAAAACTTAGAAATGTATTATTCTGTAACTTTAAGTTCCAAGTGTTGGAGAAAATCGTTACAATTTTTTATAAATATTTGAACATCTAAATATTTCACATTTTGTACACGATAAACATACCAATTTATTATACGTTTGTTATTATATATACGGTTAAAGTTAAAAATGTATAATTGTAACTTAACTATTTTTAAAATGTTCGTAAATAATATAATATCACTATAGAATCGTCAATAATTGTCAACTTAAACTATAATTGCAAACTTATATTTAAATTTTAGGTCTATTGTAAATAAAATAAATTTTGAACTACCTATAGAAAAAGCGATATAAACTAAAAAATATAGTTTTGAGAAAGTAACTGTAACTTATTTATGAGTTATGAGTACTTATGACTATATTAGAGCAAATAGGAAAAACTATACCACCAAGATGCGTCATCCCCAAGACGCAGTTATATCGGTTAAATTTATACCTAAATTAATACCAAAATATAACTTTTTTTGGGATGCTACTTGTACGCTGCCCTATGTCGATGTTGTAGTAAATATTAACTAAAAAATATTTAAGTCAAAAAATTGCATATACTCTATAATCTAAAGGAATAATGCGTGTTTTTTGTCGATCGTTTGAAACTACATCATTTGGCCATTTGGGACAAATATAATTATTATTATTATTTAAAACTGTTTTAGTATCTATTTGATCATCGTTTGCCATAAAATAATACTATAAATAATATTAAAATCGATTTCCTAGTAAATGATTCATGTTTGAGAGAAAAATATTATGCTAAACGATCATCGGCTGATCGTGATTTGGCAACATTTAGCGATGCTTATTACCGTAGGTATCGTGAATGCTAATAAATTGCACCTCATCACATTGACCTTCAAAATGTATTTTTAAATAAAAAAATTAAACGATTGTTATGCCGTTCAATTGATTATAAAATAATTTCCGATAAAAAAATATTTAGTTATTTAAATCGAATGAAACCGGGATACAATACATATATTTATGTACAATAAACAGAATTAATTCATCCGTGTAATGAGCTTGTTGTCAACGACTTTGAATTGTGACTGCGATATTAGCATTTAAATACCTATCTCTTTAAATCGTGTAGGCTTCGACAGTAAGAAAAATACCCGAATTTTATTAAATACTTATTATAAAAAATAAAAAAATTTTTATTTAAATTTAAATTGGACTTTAATGACTTTTTTGTGTTTTTACCGCTACATAAAAATAGTCATAAAAAATCTATAGCATGATTCACATGCAAGAATATATTTTAATGAAAAACTAAGGATAATAACGATATACCAATACTATACTTTCATACAGTAATAATTATATACACATTGGTACTTACTACTTATATATAGTTCAATGGCCAGCTGAAAAATCTAAGAGTATTCGTAATTTGATGTTTTAGTAAGAGTACCTAATATAATATGTGTAAACTTTCACGTATATTTACTAATATATAATATTATGTACACCTATATATATTATATATAAAAAGTAACAACATATAATTAAAAATGGTTTATTATAAATTTAGGTATCAATAATACATAATATATAGGTACTTCTATGTACATTATATACTAGTATATATAGGCAAAATATTGATTAAGTTTTGCATGCCTGTTAATACCTACAATAAAATTGCAGTACCCAGCAAATTAAATATTTATAACCTCTTGATTTTTTAACAATAATTACATTTTTATATTATATATTATCGATTTGAACAATGACAATCACATTGAAAACTTAGTATTTATACATATAATATTTATTCACTATTTTCAATTTTTAACAATTTTTATTAAAGTAAAATTATGCAACATAAATTTTTTAAAATCACATTTTACACAGTAGAGAGCTAGGTGTCATTCTGAATTTTGTGAAAGAACTGTGTTCAATTATTGGTCCATTCAAAAAATTCAAGGAAGTTCAAGTGCCTACATATTTTAGAGGGCAATTGTATTACCATTTCTCCTTCTTAAAACATTAATAGTTGAATATGAATTAAACAAATTTCTATAGCATAATTATATAAAGCCATTTAAAAGAACTGTAATTTCTTTTCTTTTGCTTTTTTTAAAAAAAATGTATTAAGAGCAGCTGCTGTCTCATATATAATTACTAAGCTTGCTTTCAGGATAATCTTTAAAATACACACATGATAATATAATTTGAAAAATAATTTGTTTACCAAACTTTCAATGACGTGAGTATACTAAAAGTATACTTACGGAATCTAATTTAACGAAAATAGTAAATAATAGAAGAACGGTTTTCAATGAAATTATTAAATTACATAAAACTATTCTTAAAAACGGCTATCATTTAGATATTCAATGTTTATTTTTGCTGAGTTTAAATTTGTTAGACGATGATGCAAATGCGTATAGTGACATGGTAGTGGTGATTGGTTTAACCAACAAAGGAAGTTTAACGCAAATATTCTTCGCAAACACATAATTTATTTTAATAGTCCTAAGGTATTTTTTTTTACTAAATAATACTGTGCACATAGTATAGTGTTAAATTAAGTGCATGTCATGAATAAACAACAACAATTATACATTTTTTATTCAAATACGTTTTGTAATATAACAAATAAGCCATAGGCCGTAAAAACAAATATTACGTAATTCTCGAGATATATCCCTGGGCTTAGATAGTCTGATAGTCAGATAAGTAAAAAAAAAAATAATAAATACATATTGATATAGATAACCCTTCTAGAATTTTTTTCAATTATTCGTACTATTACAATATCCTGTGTTATGGCTCGTAATAATTTTTTTTTAACACAAAGTAAATATTTATTTTCCAATTTTAAGTACATATACTTAAAAAATATAAAAAAGTATCGATACATATATATTTGTAATTTAGGTAGGTATAGTCGCATCACTCGCATCGAACAATAATAATTGCATTTAACATCTTTTTGAATGGCAATAGTTACTGACGTCTATAATAATACGGTATAATTTATAGTGATAGTTTAAGAAAAACGAATATTCCCGACGGTTAGTGGATTTATGACCATACAGATGCTCGGTAAGGAATTCTTTCCAGCACCATAATTATATAATACAATACCTACTTATATAGTTGCTGTTACATTCTGCTGTTCTATAATAAATGCTACACAAATCAGGGCCGTATAACACACCATGCACCACTGCAAATTTTGAATATTGGTGCAATTATTCCAAAGTGGTTAACAATGTTATACATATTATTATATTATTTCATTGAATCCTGCGCATTCGTAACGACCGCTCTCACTTTCTAATTCATTGTCGGTCCCATACACACGTGCGCGCAGAACTATTGTAATATTATAAGTTATCTCATTAGCATCGTAAACATCGTTAATTGTAATTTTTATTTGATGTTCTTTTTTTTTGTCCCGTGACAGACCATTTTCTGGACAAAAATCTCCATTGGCGTCTACACGGCGCATACCGATCACACACACACACACACACACTATAATAGTAACTACACGCACACAACAAAAGCGACTCATTGTCCTCGTAAGTTTACAACTGCAGACGTGCCACACATCCGTCGATGGTTGCTGGCGCTGGTCGATTTATACACGTGAACCCTAAGAGGTATACAAAAATAAACATATATAGGTACTTATATGGTATTATATTAGTATAAACGGTCTTCCAGCAGCAGTACCTACTCGACACGAGGGGAGAGCACGTGTACCTATATACATAATATACGCATAAATGTATAGTACTTCATCCGTTCATCGTGCGTGAAAGTATACGCACTTAACTTGACAATATTAATAATCCTGCCGACCCGGTGACCCCGAGAGCCATTAGCGTTGATTTGGAGGAAGCCCCCTCCTCCCAACTAAAAAATGGAGCATTCCCACGTTTCGACAAATAGTATAGAAACATCTTGTTTTAATCAAGGTATTGAATAAAAACTTTAAACTGTGGACATATTTTAGATTTTTTGTTGTCAGAAATATTATATTTGATTATTAGGCCATGCAATTTATTATATCATATGATATCTTATATCTATGAATTGCACAGTCATGTACTTTTGTTTATTGCACAAGAGCAGTAGGTATATTATAATAGTATGATCAAGAGAAGCAAAACATTTAAAAGCTAGATAAGACTATCAGAGGGGGTGTAAAATTATGTGCTTTTTACTGCCCATTAAAATGTAAGATAATCTCCTTAAATTCAACCATTTTGTCACTATATATGCAGATCGGCGGAGAC